GCTCTTGGGCTGCTTTCAAGACTTAAGTTATTACAAACTAGGCCACTATAAATGTAGGAGCATATACATTGCTGTGATATAATAAGTATTAATTCTTCTGGGAAGATACTCAGAAGGGGAATAACTGGGTCAAACAACTGCTAATCCCAGTGTGTTTTGGGGGGTATTTTTTTTTTTTGAGGAATCTCAATACCGATTTCCACAGTGGAGAAATGCGCCAGCCTACACTCCCCAAAACAGTGGAGAAATGTTCCTTTTTCCTCACAGCCCTGTCAGCGACTGGTTAATTTCTTGAAGATAGCCATTCTTTCTGAAGTGAAATGGAATCTCAGCCTTATTTTAATTTGCAATTCTCAAATCACCAGTGATGCTGAACCTTTTTTTCATATATTTATTTGTCATTTATATTTGAGAAATGTCTATTCATCTCAGATGCCCATTTTTGGATTGAGTCCTGCAATTCAGAGGGTCTGATTTTTTTCCAGTGTTTTGTATGTTCTAAATATTAGTCCTTTGTCTGACAAAAAGTTAGCATAAATTTTTTCCCATTTTGTGGGTTGTCTTTTCACTCTACTGCTGATTTCTTTGGCTGTGCAAAAGCTTTTTAATAAAATGAAACTTTTAATAAGCTTTTTAATAAAGTCAATTTTTCGTGACATTTCCAGTACAGGGTTTTGTTCACCAAGTCTTTGCCACACTAACATCTTCCAGAGTTCCACTAGACTACCTTTCAGAAGATTTATTGTTTTTCCTTTAATATTTAGATCTTTGGCCCATTTTGATTTTAGTTTACTGCATGATGAAACGTAAGGGTCTAGCTTCAACCTTCAGCACGTGGAAAGCCAGCTGTTCCAGCACCATTGTCCATCTTCCAGTGAATGTCTTTGGCCCCACTGTCAAAGATCAGGTGGCAAGGGCCTGGAATGTGACTGCGAGGCACAGTGCCTGTCTGGCAAACACAAGCTCCTGAGTTCAATTCCCAGTTTAAGAAAAAACTCAGATGGCACAGTGCATGTGGAGCTCTTTTATTGCCAGTACCATGCTGCTTTTATCACTGCAGCTTTGTAGTATAATTTCAGGGATAGTGATGCCTTACCCTTACCCTTACTGCCTAGAACTGTTTTTGCTATTCTAAGCCTCTTTTGGTTCCAAATGAATTTTAGCAATGTGTTATCTAGTTCTGTGAAGTATGCTAATGATATTTTGATTGAGGTTGCATTATATCAGTATAGAAATTGTGGCCATTTTCCCTGTTGATTCTTCTTAAGAACAAGGGATCTTCTCATTTTTTGATATCTTCTTCGATCTCTTTTTCCAGAGTACTATTAATTTTCAATGTAGAGATGTTTTACTTCCTTGGTTAGATTGATTCCCAAGTTGGTTTTTTTTATAATGCTACTGCGAAAGTGGCAGTTTCCCTAATTTCTCTCTCAGTGAGTTATGACTGACTTTGTATCCAGCTACTCTATTGAATCTGGTTATTAAATCTAGAAGTCTTTTAGAGTCTTGTGGAGTCTTCCATGTATGTAGAGTAACATGTCATCTGTAAATAATATAGTTTAATTTCTTCCTTTCCTATCATTATTTCTTTTATTTTTTTGGTATCTCAGTGCTCTGGCCTAAGTTTGCAGGACTATATTGAATAAGTGTGGAGACAGTGGGCATCCTTGTCTAGTTCCTGATTTTAGAGTGAAAGTTTTTATCCATTTAGCATGATGTTAGCTAAAGTTAGCTAAAGTTAGTTGTCACAGATGGCTTTTATCAGACTGAGATAAAGACCATCTATTCTGATTTTCTGTAGGGTTTTTATCACGAATAGATGTTGGACTTTGTCAAATGTGTTTTCTGCATCTATTGAGATGATCATGTGACTTTTGTCCTTTGTTGATTATTAATTTGCTTATGTTGAACCATACCTGTATCCCTAGGATGAATGTTACTTGGTCATGGTGTATAATCTTAATGATTTGCTGCATTCTCTTTGCCAGTACCCTGCTGAGCATTTTTGCATCCATGTTCATTAAGGAGACTGGCCTATAGTTCTCTTATTTCAGTGGGTCATTTGTTGGTTTTGGTATTAGGGTAATACTAGCTTCCAGGAATGAATTTGGGGACATTTCTTTCCATTTCACTGAAGAGTCTCTAGTGTAGTGGTATTAGATCTCTAAATTTCTCTTATAACTCAGCATAGTATCCCATGAGGATCTGAGCTTTTCCTTGTTGGTAGGTTTTTAATTACATCTTTGATTTCACTGACTGATACTGAGTTGTTTAGAATTTGTGTGTCTTCTTGATTCAGTTTTACTAGTTTCATTAAGTGTCTAGGAATCTGTCCATTTCATCTGTGATTTCCAATTTATTAGAATACAGGTTCTCAAAGTAGGTACTGATGAGCTTCTGGATTTCTGTATTATCATTTCACCCTTTTAGTTCCTACTTGTGTGAATGAGTTTTTTCTTTACTTTTTTGGGTAAGGTAGGCTAAGGGTTTATCAATTTTAATCTTTCAAAGAACTCTTTGATTCACTGGTTCTTTGTATTGTTTTCCTAAGTCTCAATTTCATTAATTTTGGCTCTGATCTTTATATTTCTTGCCTTATATGAACTCTGGGCTTGACTTGTTCATTTTCTAAGAGTTTGAGATTCAACATTAGGTTGTTTTTTGAGCTTGTTCTGTCTTCTTGATATGGACTGCTATAATTTCCCTCTTACAACTACTGTCATTGCACCCCATAAATTCTGGTATATTGTATCAGCAGTATTATATTCAGTTGTATATACTGTTTAATTTCTTCTTTAATTTTATTTGTGACCATTGGTGGTTCACTAGGATATTATTTAATTTCCATGTATTTATGGAGTCTTTGTGGTTTCTTTTGCTGTTGATTTCCAATTTCATTGCACTATGGTTAGACAGTATGCATAGGATAATTTCAATTGCTCTGCATTTACTTAAGCGTGTTCTATGAGCTTGTATTTGGTCTATGTTTGACAATATCCCATGTACAGCTGAGAAGAATGGGTACTCTGATGCTGTGGAGTGGAATACTCTATAGACATCCATTAAGTGCACCTGTTCATAGATTTGATTCATATCTGATATATTTTTATTTTTTTGTCTAGTTGAAACTACTTGTGACAAGAGGGTGTAATCGTTCTCTATTACAACTGTGTTAGCGCTTACCAGATTTTTCATGGTCTATTTTCTTACAGTTAGGTTTCATAGAAAAAAAAATAAAGGTTTTTAAATTTGTCTCAATTTCTTTAATAAGAGGCTCAAACTTTTTGTATATGTCCTAAGAAATTCTTGTCTATGCCAAAGTCACAAAGTTTTTTCCTGCATTTTCTCCTTGAACATTTATAATTTGGTCTTTTGCACTTAAGTCTATTCCATTTATAGTTAGTTCTAGAATATAAGAAAAGGGTCAATGTCCACAATTTTCCTGTGTAGGTAATTCTTTGTTCCATCAACATTTGTTGAAAAGAATTAAATTTCTCCATTCAAGTTTGTGACGGTTTCATTAAAAATTTAATGATTATAAATGTGTGTAGGTGTTACATCTGTTTCTTGGATCCTATTACCTATCCTTTCACCAATACTATGAAGTCTTACTTTTGTATCTTGAAGATAGTGTATAAACCCAGGTGTGTAACATTCCCAACTGTTCGTAAAATAGCTTTTACATTTGGTTTCAACCAAAAAAGTCTGCTGGGATTCAACTGACTGGAACTGGATTAAATTTACCAATATATCTGGGAAGAACCAATATTTTAATAGCAACTTGCAAACAAATCTATAAACATTGCATAGTTGTCTGTATTTTTAGATTTTTAATTTGTGTATACTACTAGGTATATATTCCAGGACCTTCGTACTTAGCTATATCCCTGAACCTTTCTTAATTTGAAACAGGGTCTTGCTAAATTGCCTTAACTTCCAACTCTCCTGTCAGCCTCCTAGAGTGCTAGGATTTTAAGTATGTGCCATCACACCAAGGTTGATCTTTTAATTTCTTAGTTTTCAGTACAGATTCTGCACAGCTTCTGTAATTTATGTTCTTCAGTTTGCTAACTTTATTTTTCAAACTATGCTAGGGATGTATTTTTAAAACTATTGATTTTTTTTTAATATAACCTTGTATCTGAAAATCTTGCAAATTCAGTTATTAGTTCTACTAGTTGCTTTATACATGTATAAGGATTGCCTACAAAACAATCCCTGTCATCTGTAAATAGAAAAGTTTATTTCTTCCCTTCTGGTTTTTCTACCTTTTACTTACTTTTATAATTTCCCATCAACAATGTCCTTTGCTACCAGCTGAGTTTTTAAAGTCATTCCACAGTGACATTTATGCCAGAAAATTCTAATAACTATAATCAATTTTCTTGATAAAGATTATTGGTCAACATTACTGAGAAAACTCCCATTTTATTCGGTGAAAAACACCCTAAGACAAAAATAACTTTAGTGCAAAAGACCCACATAATTTTAAAACTAAGTAAATTGATCATGAGTATACAAATCTCAGAGGATATAATATTGACATCACTAGCACTGAAGCTAGAGTTACGAAAAATTAATATGCATGCATCCTCCTGACCTTTCATTATTTCTCTTAACAATAAGTTACCATTTATTGAGCAGTGAATGTGTCCCAGCTTGCTTTGTCACGACACTCCCTGTGTAAGTTAACTAACGATGAAATCAAGTGGACAGATTGAACTACATTAACAAAGATCATCCACCTAAGTGGCACAACCAAGAAAAGCACTATTAGTTTGACCTCCAAAACCATGAATTCTAATTAACTACAATGTTACCCATACTTCTTCTTTACTGGCCACATAATACTATGCTCTAGCTACACTAATCTAAAAGTAACATTAACAGTAGTGGTCTTTCCTTCCAACAACTTTCCTGTATTTGACCTACTCCAAAAAATAGTAATAATGATATTCTTTATTAAGTGAAGAGTGTCAAATGTAATAAAATATACTTACTGGTTTCGGCATTTTCCTTCTTTTTCTGTTACGGTCTTTATAGGAAATTTTCACGTATGTAAATCCTGTTGTCCCCTTCTGTTAAAGAAAAAGTATAATTCATCCATTATTTTTGTATAAGGTTTTTAAAATTCTAATTAAAACTTACATAGAATAAGATAAAAAAGCATTTTAAAATGTGGGTGTGGGTTAAAAGTAACAGACCTCTCTTACTCTAATTTTCAGTGCCTTCGTACACACATATCAAATCATACAGTGTAAAGCATGCCAACCTCCTAAAGGCTTCAGTCTAGTTACAGACTACACAGCAACCAGACAATGGTTGAGAAAAACTCAAATGCTGCCACTGTCACTCCGAGTGACCCCTGTATCCAGCCTAGTGCAGGAGACTGTAAAAGTGAGGATGGATTCAGATTCTTAAAAACTAAGTTCAAGAAAACTTTTGAACCTTTTATCTCTACTGTCAAAGGCAATGGGAATGCTACACATGGTGGTGCACACCTGTCATTCCAGGAGTCAGGAGGCTGAGGCAGGAGAACTGCTGCTGTGAGTTCAAGGCCATTCTGAACTATAGTGAGATCCTGTCTCAACAACAACAACAAAAAGACAATAGGAAAACAGGAAATTTTACTGTAACCTACGAGAAAATTTTCAAAAACACTATTTTTTTCCTTGAGAGCTTGAGTAGAGGAAAAATATCTGAGTTTCTTACTGATTTAAAGTGTATAAACAGCCACAGTCCTGCACACTAAAATCCAGAGCAAGCTAGTGGCTGACAATGAAATTTAGAATTGCCCTCACGACCAATGTATCTTCACCTAGGACAACACATTTCTTTAACACAAATGAACAATAACAATGAGACACAATTTCAAAACAACATAATGGAGATTAACAAGTGTTAACATACTGCACACTGTTATTTTCAAACAAGGAAAACCGTAAATGTTCCTACTAAGAAACATTAAGAATGGAGTTTTTCCTTATAAGTCTACTAAAAGATCTAAAATAATTAGTTGTCCAGAAAAAAAAATACAATTCCAAATTTGAAAACCTACAGTCAGAAGTGCTATATTAGAGAAGAAACTTGTCTAGGTAATATCACTGCCAAGAAAATTTTTAAAAAATAATCTCCCTAATTTGCCAGTCAGAATATTAGAAGCTTTATTTGAATATTAAAATGTATTTATAAAATTAGTATATTTAAATATTAAAAACATGATTTAGAGCAGCCTACTCAGGACCCCTTCTGTCTCTTTCTCAAAACAGAAGCTTTCTTTTAACAAATATATTCTGCTCTTAAAAAAAAAGAACATGATTTATAAACTATTTAAGAAATACAGGCTGGAGATTTAGCTCAGCGGCATAAGCTCCTGCCTGGCAAGCGTGAGGTTGTGAGTTTGATCCTTAGTACAAAAAAAAAAATAAAGAAAGAAAGAAATATGACTACATTTTACACGTCTTTTGGGGAAGGCCAAGCTAGGATTAAACCCATGATAGATAAGTGCTCTTCCACTGTGCTATATGCTAACCCTTTCATGTTTATTTTTAGACCAGTCTCAATAAGCTGCTCAGGGGCTCAAACTTGGATCTTTCTGTCTCACTCTCCCAAGCAGCTAGAATTATGAGCATGCATTGATTCCTAACTTCAACTCATATTTCATATAACTTTATTCAAAATCCTCATACATTATGTGCAATAAAAATGTATCAAAACTATGCGACTTTCTGAATCATAGTCTTCCAGATTAGTATTTTTAAGTCAGTATATTTACACAATCAAATATTTATGCCAAAGCTTAAGTTTATGTTAGGATCCCTTGCCCCATTTGTACTCTAAGAAGTAATTTTTAATGCCCACATCGGAGTTTCTTTGCCCCCTTTTTTTTTTTGATACTGGGAATCGAACTCATGACCCTGTGCTTGCCACGCAGGTTCTCGTGCAGCTGAGCTGTGTCCCCAATTGTCTAGTTTTTTTATGTTTTGTTTTTTTTTTTTTTTTCTTTTTTTTTTGGTGGAGAGCTTGTTTGGAAGGTCTAGCAGGGAAGCACAGCTCCTTGCACACCATTGTCCAAGGACAAAGACCTCCTGTGTGGGAGTGGGTCGTCCCCTCCACCGCATGAACAGCTCTGGGAGAGAGGCACAAGGGGTGGTGAGCGAGGAAGGAGACACCTGCTTGGCCAGCCAGGGCACCCTCACATCCTGGCTGTTTGTTGTTTTTACCAAATCTGATACAGATTTCTCTGCCTCTTTCCTATGTTTAGATCACTTACCAGATGAACCCTGTGAGCTTCCTTGGCTCCTCTGAATTAAAGCAGTTCGAAAGCAATCATCTTAAGCAGAACTTTCAGGTCCAAGGTAAAGAACAGCATGCTGTGACCATTATTCCCTCAGCATTTGGAAGCCACCATCTCATTCTGACACCTCTTGCTGCTAAATCTGCTGTCATTCTAACTCATTCCTTTTCATTAATCTGCTCTTTTCTTTCTAGTTTTCTTTTATAACTTTTACTTTTCTTTGGTATTCTTCCTTACATTTTTCTCGTTCAAGATTTGGCGAGCCAGGCATGGTGGCACATACATGTAATCCCAGAACTTGGAGGCCGAAGCAGGAAGATTCCCACAAGTTTGAGGCCAGCCTGAACTACATAGGCAAGACTTTGTATATACACACACAAAAAAAACTTAGTCCTCTCTTTTATTTCAGTTAATTCTAAATTATCTCAAAAGAATAATAATGCTATCTTTACTCACTGAACATGAAGTGATTACTCAACAATGCCTGCATTCATCAAATACTTTATAATTTTGTTTATTGATTATTTCATTTTCTAATAATAAAAAACCAAGAAAGCAAATTAAGACAGGTCACATGGTAACTACTTTGTAGTTGAGAAAATAAAACTAGCCCATTCTTAAAGTAGTTTGTCCTAAATCTCACAGGTAATTAATGGACAGAACTTAGCATCTGCTCTTTCTACCACATAAACCCTCTTTTCTCCCCCCCCCTTTTTTTTTTTTTTTTTGTCTTTCTGAGACAGGGTCTCTCTATGCCTTTCAGGCTGGCCTTGTGCTCACCTTGTAGCCTAGGCTGGTCTCAAACTTGCAGCAAGGATCCTCCTGCCTCAGCCTCTCGAGTGCCAACTGCTGGGATTACAGGGGATTACAGGCATAAATCACCATGCCTGGCTCAATTTTTTTTTTTTTTTTTTTTGGTACCGGGGATCAAACTCATGACTGAGCACTTGCAAGGCAGGCGCTTATGACGCTGAGTTAAATCCCCAGCCCTCTTGCTTCTTATATTAAAAAAAGTATTATCAAATCATTTAAATTGTACAAATATAATCAGAGAAAATATTTTAAGAAGAACAAAATTTTGTCACTTGCTGGAAAATGGATGGATCTGGAGATGATGTTGAGAAAAATAAGCCTGACTTAAGGTAACATTTGGTATGTTCTTCCTAGTTATGTGGAATCTAAAAAAAAGACGCCAAAGAAGTAGAAGAGCAACTATTATCAGACAAGAGGAAAGGAACAAGTGGTAAGGACAGGGAAGTGTAAGGGCAGGTAAGCGGAAGCTGGATATGTGAAGCCCTGTATTGAAATACTCAGAACACTGGAGGAACTGTTTCATGAAACAAAGAATGTAACAGTAAAATATAATAACCTGGAAATCTTAGAAAGAAAATGCGTACAATGGTACAACCACAAAAATTTTAATTATAGTGCTGTTTATAAGTGTATGTAATACTAGTTAAGTGAGTCATCATACATCTCAGACTCCACAGACCATAAAGCACCTAATCAAAAAGCTATAGAAAAATATTAAGTGACATGGAAAAATACAAGCTGCTGAAGAAAAAGGCAAGTTATAGAGCAATCCACAGAATATTATCTTTATTATCACATTTCTTTTTAAACAGGTGATGGAGAAGAGTCCAAAATGAATATACTCCAAAATATTTAAGTGTCTCCAGCATTAGAATGAATTTGCAAATTTCTAAAATGAAAATATACAACTTCTGTAATTAGAAAAATAAAAGAAAATTAAGACTATTCTAATAAAGCTCAAGTCATAACTGTATATACTATTCAATAATCCAGGTTTAAAGTTTTTTCAAAAAGAAAAAGATTCTAGTTTTAGAAAATATGACTAAGGAGAATGTATACATCATGATAAAAATGTATTTCTAAATCCCTACATAGGTAAAGAGATACTAAAACTAAAATAATAGAAAAATATTCAATAGCCACGATCAATTGCTATGCAAAACACTTAACAATCCGTTAAAAAAGAAAATCCTACTTTAAAAATGAGCCAGGCTTCATACCTGTAATCCCATACAGGCATGTACCTGTAATCCCAGGACTTGGAAGGCAACAGGAGGATCAACCTGAATTCAAGGCCAACCTGGGCTACATAGTGAGTCCAAACTAACCTGAACTACACAAGACCCTATCTCAAAAACACATACACACATACCTACACACACACACAAATGAACAACTGCTCTACTAAATCTACAAGTCAAAACAGCTTTCAGGTATTCTTCCTTACGTAAGCAGCTAACTAGGGAACTCGGTTACACATGCTACTACTGAGGAGATGATGCTGGCAAACAATAAATATCTGGCAAAACCAAAAATCTGGCACCATATTTATAGAAAGTTGCCGATATTCATGAAATCCTAAAGGGCTTTTTGAACAGAAAATTCTGCTTCTGGAGTAAACCCTACAGGAAATAAATCAAGGAAAGTAATCTCTACCAAAATATTCTCAGCAGCACTCTTTTCAGTAGCCAATGAGTAAAAATCACAAAGTAATGTTGCAACTATGTGATAACATGACAGATATTCAAAATGGTATTTTCGTAGGGGGGCTGTTTCGTTTTTGCGTATTAGCACAAGCTGTGTCAACGTTTACATAAAGGTAAGTGGAAAGATCAAACATATAAAAGTAGCCACTCTTACAACTATTTAAAAATACAGTATTATTACAAAAGATATCTGGATAAACAAAAATGGATCATTTACTAAAAATCAGGGTTTTATTTAAGTTTCTAATTTTAAAAGTCAGAT